AATGGCTTAGCATCTTCCCTTATTTTAGGCTAATATCTACTCCCAGCATCCTTTACTCGAAATGTTTATTTTTTCGCAAACTTTGTCTACCGCAGAGTGTACAATTTTAGCCCATCAAAACTTCTCCTTTCCATGGAGTTTGATTCTGAATTGTACTCTTCTCCCCTACATGACATATTAATAATTGCAAGAAAATGTGGCCTATAAATTAGACGATTTAACTTAAAAATCGATTTCGAATTAAGTTTGCAACTATCGGATATACTTCATCATCATTAGGTTATTTAAGTTTATGAATAGACAGCTTAGTGTTTAGCACAATCACTTGCAGTCAATAAGCTTTGAGATTTCTCGAGCTACTCAAATGGTCCCTAAAAAATGACACCTCTTGTCAACTTCTTAACCTCTATGTAAATGCCTCTGCTATTCAACCTCCAACAGACCAAATTCTACAGCTAGGTTCTAATATTTATCATTGAAACGGAGTTCTGATTGCACTTGGCTACCCTCTAATCCTACTCCTCAACAAAAGACCTGGGTGATTTGTCCAAAATGACTTAATGTCTATTTTATCTGAAATTCTCTTATTTTTTGTTTACTAAATTAAGTTATACGTGAATACATGGCAGGAGCTCATCTTCAAATGAAAAAATCCTAAATGAAGAATATTTGCCTGAACAAGAGTGAGTGAAGAGAGATAAGAGGCCTGTTAAATCACAGGAGAGTTGAAGTGAGGAGGGAGAGAGGGATTAGGGAGTGAGAAGAATTTGTGGCTGGCAGTTAATCAGCTTCTCTCTCTCTCTCTCTTCTTCATTGAGGCGAATAATTCACTCAGCCGTAGCAGACCTGAATTGCCAAGTAGTTGAGGAAGTTCCTACAAATCTCTCAAACAACATTTTCTCTCCTTCAACTTTTTTCCCACTTCCGCTCTCTCTCCCTCTCTATCGCCCTAATCTTTCTCAATATTACAGGGAATTCAAACGGACTAGTTACAACATCAAAACATCCTATTTGTAGAATTAGATGCATTCTCAGATACTAGTACAATTAAGTAAGCAACATTTGAGAGAAAATTTACAAGTTACAAATCGCATCTGATGCTAGCTAATAAATCTATAAATCAATAGCGTAAGCACCATTATTGCCAAAAAAAGTTAATTTGTGAATTTAGGCGTACGTGAACTGGTTCTTATGGCAACGGTTTACGAAATCCCAGACAAATATAAACCTTCATTCTAAAAAAATCTTTAAGCTCTCACCCAAGGTGCATGGTAATTGAACGGAAAACGTCCAAATATTCAAAGCACGCAGTTCCTAAAGGCTAAGCAACTACAACCAAAACTTTAACTGTGTAGAAATCTAAATTTAACTTAAAATTAAAGTTTGCTGCGAAAATTTGTTTTGATAAATTTAAATTACTAAATAATACTGCTGTCATTCGTTTCTTCTTTTTAAAATATACTATGTCTCTTCTAATTTGTTAGGTAACCTAATTGAATTCGAATTTTACTAACGTTAATAAATTGATATTAGCGGTATCAGCCTACTACGAAAATCTTAAAACCATTTACTCAGGTTGGGTCTAAAGACCATTTACAAAATTGTACAATTAGTACTCAGCTGATTTTGTCTTTTTCAAAGGTCATAGTACTTGTCTCAAATACCTCATCCAACTCAAATAAAACGAATTTATGAGCAAGCATATGGACCCAATTACCAAATAGGTGCATTTGTGTACAGTCTCTTTGAATCAACCACTTTTGTTGGCACATTTTATATTATTTTCATTTCTTCACTAAGCTGATGACTTTCATCTGAGGCACTGCACCCTGTCAGTACTCGATTTAAAAGTACTCCACACTCTCCAGTGAGTTTAAGAATTGTTCCTAAAGGTAATACAAACGAATGCAAAATGTTGGTCTTCTAAACTAACATCTACTGCCTTTCACTTGCTTTCGAAGCCTGGCGTTTTTTAAAGTGACAGTAAACATTCTCTCGGAAGGGGCTATCTATAAATTTAACTCTGGGACTGAAATCGCAAAATAGGACATTCCGCTTCCTTCGGATATTAATATATTGGAAGCAAAGTGCCCTATGTCCAAATCGCGTCTTGAATAAGATATTTTTGGAATTTTTAAAAATAAAAGAAGTAGTATAAGCTTTCTCTATCCGATTTGAGTCCTCATTTCAGAAGGTCTTGTTAACAGCAAGCTTTGACGTAAATTGGTAAACTTACTTGCCGTAAAATTATAGCCATACTTTTGCAAGTTTATTAAAAAGAAAATTCAAATTTATATAAAAAAGACATTTATCATAATTGCAAGACATTCTGAGCCCAGATAATTTATCAGCACCGTTAGAATGCATCAACAACCTTCCATTTTTATGAATGTCGTTCACATGGTCGTCTTAGTGTTGTCTTCTTAAGCATCTTTGTCACTATGCCATTAGTACATGGATATAGGTTATTTCCTGTTCGTTTAGTTAGGCCTTTGGGGATTAGGTAGGGAGAAGCAGCAGTAGAGGATATGATTAGAAATAAAGATAAGAATAAGTGAGCACTAGGGCGAGAGAATTCGCGGAAGATGAAGGGAAAAAAGCACTTGATAAAATAACTACGCAGTATCTTTGGCATCTATAAAGTTGTAGAAAAGCGAGAAGACTTAGTCGATTGAGTCTTTGTGATAAGGCCGAAAATTAAATTTTGGTTAGAGAAAAGAAAAATTTTTGCATTTTAATCATCTAGATACATATATTTTCAATAACACATCTTGCATCTTCATCGTAAAAATAATATTTTAAATAAAAAACAATGGTTATCGAAATAAATGTGTACGAATGACTATCAATAATTCATGAAAAGTTGAGACAACAATTTAGATTCAGTATTTCAAGCAATAAATAATAATCATTAATATTATTTTTTCGTAGTAAGAGTACCATTGTCTCATTCTCAAATCAAGTTATGCATTCGCATAAAGTAGGATGCATATTCCGGCAAAAAAATCGTTCTTAACATTGTTTTGGGTTTTAAACAAAAAACAGAAAAAATACGGATTATTACTTTCATTTGTCAATTCACTGTGTCCAAACAATGCTAACGTGATAAATAAGCAGAGTTAATATAGATCATAAAACATATATTCTGCACCACATTAGCGCATTATTAAACCTTATGGAAAAGCCACTTCAATGAATTTTGCTAATTTGCGTAGAGTAAATCACTTATCCCGCATTTACATATTAAGTAAAAATAGTCAACATCTGATAAAATCCAACCTATTTCATTTAATTTAATTAACCATAAGTATTATTAAAATCATGTTATTACAAGGGAAATATTCTGCTGGAAGCAGAAAAGTCCATTTTGAACTTATGGTGCAAACAGGAGGAAAGTTTTAAATTTGAGATTTTGTCAGTAGCAATAAAACAATTAAAAACTGAAGTTTCGCATCAAAAGAAGCATTCTTCTATGCAAATATTAACAATCCTCACTTATATCAATTCAACAAGCTCCAATTTTCAAGAAAAATGAAAATAGACCAGTGATATTGATATTGACTCAGATCAACAGTCACCAAACTATTTAAGTATCGAGATAACTGGAGAATAAGTGGAGAATAATCAAAGAGCCAAATACTGATGTTGCGTAAAATTATTCAATTCAATCACTGTAATGTGGACAAGGAAACCACAAGAGAAGGGAATAATCATGCAGGTAGAATAATTCGGCTGCGGTTTGGAATGCCATCACAGCTTATTGAATAAACCAATTAGTTTATTTGAAAATTTTTCCACCTGCTATTTTAAAAATATGCAGTCAAAGATGTCGACGTGTGATGATATTTATCAATGTATTTATCTGTTCATCATTAATAAAATTAATCAAAAATATTTCAAATGAACGGTTTAAATATATCCTTAATTTAATTACGGAAAATCCAATTTATTGTGTAACCGAATAGCTACAGTAGCTTAGCCAGTTCTAGGAGTCTTGACAAACATACGGGTATCTGTCATAGGGATTTCTGAGGATAGCCAAAGATTATTAGTGTAACGATCTGCTACAGATCTGACTGTAAATAATTGCATGGTCTGGAGACTAACTATTTTGTTAAATCTTTAATTATTTACCACATTTTTATGCCTTGTAATAGCTTCATTCATTATACTTCTAATCTTATAACAGGGATTTCAGTCAAGTGGGGATCAATATGATTAAGTACTGTGGCGGATTGCTACTCTAATAACCCTTGACATATGCTCAATAATCTATGACAATATCTACTTTTTCTTAAAGGCTCCCAAGATTAGCTAAACTCCCATGGAGGAAATCGATGTATGAAGTGGAATATGTTCATTTGGGAAGTGTGTTTTAGAAGGAACATTTAATCTTTATATTACAATAGAGGGTTTGGTTTGCCAAGCATGAACTATTAATTGGCGGTTGGCTTAGTGTCTATGCGCACACTACCGCACCATCGAGCCTATCTGCTTGTGCAGGAGGCTGCATTGTTCAGCGATGATAGCGCTACGAGCTCCACAGAACTTATGGTATGGTATTTAGGGATCCGTATTAAAAGAATTCATCAGATTTGCATGTAATTTACTCTGAGCAAGAAATATTGTGATGATTGGACATTTTGGTAGGTGCATATCACTCGTAACAAAACTTTAAGTAAGAAAACAAATAGAGCGCTTATTAAATTTAATAACAAAATGAAAAGCAACAGATTATTTGATTGCGCATGCCTGTAAATCTGTCAATATGAAAATAAAAGGGTGTGAAAAGTACTGAGAAGTAAATAATTAAAAGATTTGAAATACTCACCACCGATTTGTGTTTTAACTAAAAATCCTACTATTAATAATAATACTTTATGAAAAAATCGGACATTAGTTATTAATGATATTTCTAAATCTGTTGTTACTTAAAAATATCAATATACGTTTTAAGTAGCTTGCATCCTTGAACACATTTAATAATCCAACAAAAACCAATGGTAAGTGAGGTTGGGGTTGTTCGCTTTATTTATTTGAAGAGATATATTTTCATTAACTTCTTTGGAATTATACAAAAGAGTGGTCACTTGATTACTTTATATTCTAAATTGACTTTGTTTTAATATTTTGAGAACCTGTTGGAATGCTATTCTTTGCAGTCGTGGTTAGCTCTTCATCGATTTTGGTTTAAATTCTTAATGATTTCTTCGAGCTATCCCCGTACTTCTCTCGATGTACTTCTTTGAGTTCCCAACACATTCTCTAATAATCGTTTCACAACTATATGCTTTTCGCTAATTGAAGCGTTGCTTTTTGTCCTCTCTAGTCAGAACTTCAACAGAACGCCGATGGTGATGCACCTCCCCCTAAACCTAGCAATAAGGTAATTTTACTATCTGTTTTAACTAATTTTTTAGCCAAATTATAAGCTAAAGTATACACTCACTGGTCATTCTAAAGCCATATCTTCTCTGAAATTCTCTAAATGTGGTCAATGGCTAGCAAGCTCATGTAAGTTTATTGTATCCCTTTATTATGCCTCTAAACTGTAGCTGCTGATAAACAGATCAAAATTTGGAATGCATATGATGGCAAATGCGAGAAGTCTATTCTTGGCCATAAACTTGTGAGTATTAATTTGAAATTGCTAATGAAGAGTATATTTCAGGGCATATCTGATGTAACCTGGTCTACCGACTCACGCTTTCTATGCACCGCTTCAGACGACAAGAGTCTAAAAATTTGGGATTTCGCATCGGGCAATTGTTTAAAAACTCTTAATGGACACAGCAATTATGTGTTTTGCTGTAACTTTAATCCTCAATCTAATCTCATTGCTTCCGGTTCTGTAAGCCCTTGACCTTTATTGTGATTATTTGATCATTTCAGTTTGACGAAAGTGTCAAACTTTGGGATGTTCGAACTGGAGGATGTATTCGTACCCTCCCTGCACATTCAGACCCTGTAACGGCTATCGATTTCAACAAAGATGGATCACTTATTGTTTCTAGTAGCTATGATGGGCTATGGTAAGCCAAGTCGTTATTCTGTAATTTTGTTCAGCCGAATTTGGGACACAGGTTCTGGTCAGTGCCTTAAGACCCTAATAGATCAAGATAACCCCCCAGTTTCCTTTGTTCGTTTCTCTCCAAATGGACGATTTATTCTTGCTTCCAACCTTGATAGCACTATCAAACTTTGGGATTATCGCAAAGGTCGTTGTCGAAAGGTCTATAAGGGACATCTTAATGAGAAATATTGCATATTTGGTAACTTTTCAATCACCGGTGGAAAGGTAAGTCACGACACATCAAACCTTGAGTGCCTCTTTCTAGTATGTTGTCTCCGGTTCAGAGGATAAGAAAGTCTACATTTGGGATCTGCAGAGTAAAGAAGTTGTTCAAACCTTGGGAGAGCATGAAGATGTTGTCTTAAGTGTTTGCACTCACCCAACTCAAAATATTATTGCTTCCGGTACTCTAGAATTTGACAAGGCTATACGTATCTGGACTAGCGAAACTTGAAGCCTTCGTTCCTTCCCCATCCCTTTTGAAACGACCTACATGTGAGCCCTTTTTTTAATGTTTCATTCCAATATCTATTTTGCCTCAGCCTTGTTTTAAAAGGGCATATAAAAGAAGGGGCGTTCACATATTTATACACTGCAATGGGGAGGAAAAGAGGGATAAATAAAATCCGAAATTGGGAGAAGAAGGAATCAGGTAAAGAGGGGTAATCACTTTACTATTGGGAGAAAGCGATTTGTCATAGACCTCTGCCGTCATCATTAACTCTACCAATATTTAAGGAAGGGGAAGATTCGATATCTGTGGTGTCCTTTTGTCCTTGCGGTTTCAACATCTGGTTGCCGTTTTCTTCGCTACTCTCGCTAAATTCTTCGGTGTAGGACAATTCGTTGTCAGGATTTTCGTTATCGCCTTCTGACACTTGTTGCTTCTTCTGTTGTTCTTGTCTTGCCATGCGTTCATAATAATCTCGCTTTTGAGCTTCCAAATCGTCTAGCGTGGACTGAACTTTTACCAGACACCTTTCTCGGAGTTTGCTGATTAGCGATCTTGGCAGTGATCCGGGAAGCTTGAACATCGCCTAGAAAAAAAACATTAAATAGTCCATTGTGATGGGATAAGCTTTAACATAATAATAGTTGGATTCATGCCAACATTAGCTAAAGGCTGGAAGGCTTAGCTGTTAGCGATCATAGACATGTTACATTGGTGTTTAAATGAACCTAACCGGCTCAGAATATTGATCAGCGGTTTAGTATTGTGGGGCATTGCAGTTCACTGTGGGAAGAATCATTCGTAGATCGCAAATACTCCTGTTGAATTTATTTACACTTAATGCTATTAGTTAAAATCAGTCTAACGTTTGCCCATGACGGAATAGTGATATAATGAACTTCAACCGTCTTTTTAGAAATCCATTAGTATATACCCTCCACAATAAACTCGGATACGCAACAATCTATCACTATCAGAACTCGTCTCATCTGAACTTTACCTTGAGGAATTCATGGCAATAGAGGGTTTGCTTGTCCTGAGTTATGTCACGAAAAGTGAGAACGACATCGGGGAATTGCTGACAGTAGAGTATTTCCTTAGTGTGGAGTTTTGTTAGAGCAATGCATGCTCGGAAGAGAATCTTATCACCCTCGTAGAATATGCAGTCGAAGATTCGCAACACCGTCTAAAAGGTACCAAAACGGGTATTAAAGGTTGAGATAACATTTAAGCAGCGCGGAGACGAGATTTCAGGTCTGACTACCAAAATGGATGCGGAAGGAAAAAGTCTTCCTCTCCTGGATTACAACAAGGGCTTAGGTACTATCCTCCGTGTTCGCTAATCGAGAAGGATTGATCCGCCCCTCCGATTCATTCCCGATATGCGTTCAATGATTGAGGAGGCAAAATATTCTTAGATGACATTCGAAAGTTGGTAGCGGGCAATTACAATTTGGCAAAGTTTCTTAAGCTCTAGCTTCACTGAAGTGGTGACATCAGCATAAATAAAAACTATCTCCTCTCATGTTCGTCCGCGTGATAGGTATCTGAATTCACGTAGACACAGATACTGAGTATACACGAGGATCCTACTATCATTTGCCAATTCGATATTTACAATCAAAGAATATTAGACAGCACTAGACGCAAGTAAAACTTTTCATTTAAAATGAAAGCTTTATCGAAATCCGTAGGTCAGATGTGAACACCATCAATCCCTTTACTTTCAAGGATCCACAAAGGCCGAAAAAATTGTCCATTGTAAGTAGCTGACTGGATTTTCATTGATGGCGCCTGGATTCCCCCAACTAATTAGGTAAAATACCGAGAATAAAATATGTGGACAGAGGCTTAAAGTTGAAGAGGTGATAGTATTGGAAATCGGTCCGTGCAAATTGATAATATTATAATCTTTATGAATTCCTCATTAAGTGACGTTACTTGCACCCTTCCAACGAATAAGTAAAATAACACTGGGAACTCAAAAAATTTTGCCTAAGTTATAATCACAGTACCACTTATGGTTCAGTATTATATAAAGAAGGCACGAATTGGAACTATATATATGTAAATTATGCATATGCCATTGATTGGCTCCTTGGTTACTCAGGAAATAGTTGTGGCGAGGCTCCTTTGTCATGTTCAGAGTAACTCAAAATGACCAAATTTTCAGGTGCACGCGCAAGCACTTGAAAGGCTGATTATTTATCGACTTATTTCAGAATCATGGCCGTGTAACATAGATATTTAAGCTACTACATCGTAAATGCTTCTCAAATTTGAAAGAAACAAGCATGAAAAGGGAGAAATTTTCCCCATCAGCAGAATGATCAATTTCCCTTGGAAGGCAGCTAAGTATATCATTAAGTATGACGGAGAGAAATGCACTTCCAAAGGGCTTTCAGGGACTTCTAACTGTTGTGTATTTTAGTGGCTATAAAATAAGAAATATGGCCTTCATTCAACACAAAACCCAACTTTCTTAAAAATAGGCCCTATCCTGTGAACCGCAATTTTACTGCAATAAATAATTCTACTGATTAGCTTATAAGTAGAGCAGGTACCATCAAAATTCAAAGATCGCGATTATTGCTACAGATTTAGGTAAGTTGGAGGTTGATAAGCACACTCTTATAAAGAGCAAAGCAAAAGGATATCACGTCTCGAGAAACAAAAGATGGAACTGAATAAACTCATTAATAAAAAGATTAATTAGTATGGTAGGCATATACCAGAACGATTAGTTTTAATAACAGCTAAAAATTGCCCTAAATTGGAATCCATGTTCTTATGGATAGAACCAAAACGTCTCAACAACAAAATGGCCGGAGTCTAAATAGAAATCTAAAATTTATCAGGTGTAAATATCCAGCCCTAAGCCTAACGGTAAATATAGTAGCAAGCTCATGAATGCATCTATGAGTTCATAATGGTATAAGTCTCAGTATTCGAAATTTCCTAGTTTCCAATACGGTTGAATAATTCCAAGGTACCATCTAGAACTGAAAATGGCCATACTTTGTTGTCAAAGCAGGGGTGTGCGATAGACTTACCTCCACATGGAGCAACGTATATTCATACGGCAAAATGTCTATAAATAGGCGGCAGTTGACTTCTCTCTTCAAACTATCATCACCCCACTGTATATCTTATTCAACCCCTTCCACATTACTCATATTACCTTTTCTCTGTCTCCTTTACATCTATGAATCACTCTTCTATTTCCCCTCTTGACTCTTTCTCACTTTGATGCTCCTCCCCTCTGTGAAGCCCGAATTAAGCGAAAGGGCTAATAATAACCAAAATGTCTGCCACTTGAAAAAAAATAATTGTTGTCAAAGCAACACGTGAAAAATGTAAAATTCAAAAACTCTGTGTTGTCTGATTGAAATTCTAGCATTTACACATTAGTCGCATCATGTTTCTCAGTTCACGCGATGTTCGCCAAATAACTTAGTAGCTGTAAACATGACAAAATATTATTACTTATTACTTTAATTTTCTGTTAAATTTGGCGAATCAAACTGTTGTGTTCGTGCCAATTTAAGTAAATTAACACCGACAAATGATAGCCATTCTATTTATAAACGCCATTTAATCGATGTGTTGAATCCTCGTGGGTTTGAGCAATAATCTACCCGCCTGCTTGCTTAAAATAGAAGCCAAAGGCGTATTAGACATGTCTGAGTATGACATGGAAAAAAAGTATTGGAAATACAGACTCAAGAATTGTGAGGAAAGTTAATCAACTGGACAGCTTGAGTACTGTATTACTTCATGAGACTAATTTCTTACCATACTGAATTTTCCATTATTGCATCTTCACACTAGCTAGCCAATCACCGACCATACAGCTTAGACAATATAAACAATTCCTTTAATATATATTTATTTCAAATGGCAGACGTTTTGATAGATATCATTAGCCATTTAGCTGACTTCGAGCTTCACAGAGGGAAGGTTTATCAAAGTAGCAGAAAGTCGAGGTGTGGAGAACAGAAGAGCGATTCACAGATGTAAAAGAGACAGACAGACACAAAGGTTGAGAAAAAGGTAAGGTGAGTACTGTGTTAGTGGTCGAATATGACATAAAGTCGGCTCATGGTAGATTGAAGTCAGAAGTCTACTGCCAGTTAATAGACATATTTGCCGTGTGAGTATACGTTGCCCAGGGTGCACCACGTGCAGGTAAGTTTATCGCATACCCCAAAGCCTGCGGACACTCTCGTGCCCTGGAAAAGTGGGCCATGCCGTGACCCGGGATCGAACCAGGGACCTTTAGGTCTTCAGTCTAACGCTCTCCCAACTATGCTATCACGGCGCGTTGACCAATCATTAACCCCTGTTTGTATAACCTAAACCTCCATCATAATCATGGTGAAGCTCCCTACGTGTACACTTTATCCACAATATACTTACTGAATAAACGTGCGCCGTGCTACACGTCTGTTTCCTTTATAGCTGGGCTATAGTTTAGCTTGTTCTGGGAGTCTAGCTAGATGTTGGAGAATCTGCCATAGAGATTTCTGAGTCAGTCAGGCTTTACTAGCATAGCAATCCGCTACGGCATAGACGAAAATTTAAAAAATGTTTGGCTTTAAGGAGATCCGATTATATGGAACCCTCTAGTCTTTCGATAGAGTGCTAATATAAAAAGTCCCTTTTAATTAGCTTCAGTGTTGGAATGTCTTCATGTCCAATGTACGCTTCAAGTGTACTAAGGTTGAGTTGATATTGGCAAGCATTTGCTATCCATACGGAAGTGGCCACTATTAGCTAAATCCCTTCATTTCCGAATTTTCCACAGAGTTAATTCTCGAAATTTCTGGAGTGTTGCCGCTGCATAAGAAAAGAGTATAATAGAAATAAAGCCACAATCGTCAGTGCTTAGCACCAGTGACAGATAGTAGCCTTAATTGTTTTGTCCCTTATTGGACAATAGTTTTGTGCTTGAAAGTCATCTTATTTCTAAAATTTGCACCATGGTTTTTGAATTTCTAATCGTAATAACAATCACTCCACGAATTCTCGAAATATTTTAACTCGAACCTTAGAAATTCTTTTTCAACTAATTTGGCAAAAGGACGTTTGGAATACTCTTAAAAGAGGCCCTCTTAAGATCATTTTAAACAAAGTGTTTCCAGAAAGACTTCTAGTGCAATTACACCATCATTCAACGAGAAATTCATGTTTTTATCTTATACCAAGTGTTTATTTTAAATGAAAGGAACAGTCTTATTGTAATTGTACTTTTAATTTCTCGAGCTTTACTGAATTCGGTTCTTTGAGTGCCAAAGTTCTTTGAATGCTATGTTATGCGCTTCTTCAATAAGCGTTTAAATTAGCACCGTGAATAGGCAATTTGGCAAGTTGTAATGCATATGGTGCATTAAAGTATTTTGGACTTGTACCTGAACTCTTAGTGCCGATGATCATAAAAAGCTTCATAAGTGGAGGCGACTACAATGCAACGGATTCCCCC